AAGGCAGTAGGAGTTGGGTAGCCTTCTCCACACGCGCACACGCACACGCACACGCACACACACACACACACACACACGGCTCCTACCGCATTTTAAATTGCAGAACCACAGTGAGGTTTGGTCCCTGACCCAGCGTGAGCAGGGACTAAGCTACGTTGCCTGCCCACCTGGCTCCTAAAGTTAGTTTAAATTGCAGAGCCGCAGCGAAGTTTAGTCCCGGTACAAGCCAGGACTGAGCGGGGCTGTCTGCCTAGCCTGTAGCAGTGCTGCTGGGCCCCCACAGGCAGGGGCTGCTTTGCAGGCAGCAGCCCTTGGCCACAGGTGATCCCAGCAGATAGTTGGGATCCCCCTGGACAGGGGCTGCTACCGGAGCTGCCTCCCCTGCTCCCCTCTCCCTGCTGCCTCTGATAGAGGCAGTGGTGGGGGGAGAGCAGAGACAGTGCTGGGAGGAACTGGCTTTTAAGCTCCTGCTCCTCCCTCCCCCCTCCCCTCTGCCTCTGATATAGAGGAGGGGTGTGTGTGTGAATGCAAGTAGTCACCGTGACTACCCGATAAGCTTAAGCTTATCAACTAATCGACTAGTCTCTTACAACCCTAGTCTTGCCTCCGTGCAGGGGACAGAAGTAGATGACCTGTCAGGGTCCCTTCCAATGCTACATTTCTGTGATTCTATGACTGAGCAACAAAAATGGCAGCTGAAATTCAGTGTTGATTAAAACAAAGTAATGCATGCTGGAAAACATCCCAACTATACATGTAAAATGATGCCATCTAAATTAGCTGTTACCACTCAAGAAAGAGATCTTGGCACCATTGTGGCTAGTTCTCTGGGAACATTTGCTCAATGTGTCATGGCCAAAAAAGCTATAAAGTGTTAGGAACTGTTAGGAAAGGGATAAACAAGAAAATGTCAGAACGCCACAATATAAATCTATGGTACACCTATTCCTTGAGTACTGCATGCAGATCTGGTCTCCTCTTCTCCAAAAAGGTGTATTGGAATTTGGAAAAAGTACAGAGAAGGACCAAAAAATATGAGGGCTATAGCACATACAAAGAGAGATTAAAAATACTGTTCAACTTAGAAAATAGACAACTAAGGGGGTTCAGGTCTGAGAAGGTCTGTCAAATCATGAAGAAGGGAGAGTGACTAAGGAAGTATTAGTTCCCCCTTCACATAACACCAGGATCCGGAGTCATTGAATGAAATTAATAGGCAGCAGGCTTAAAACAAACATCAAGTAGGACTAATTCACATAACATACAGTCAACCTGTGGAACTTGTTGCTAGGGGATATTGTGAAGGCCCAAATTATAACTGGGTTAAAAATAATTACATACGTTAATAGAGGATAAGTCCATAAATGGGTATTAGTTGAGATGGTCAGGAATGCAGTCCCATGATCTCAGAATCCCTCAACCTCTGATTGCCAGAAGCTGGGACTGGAAGACAGGAGATGGGTCACTCAATAAATTGCCAGGTTTTGATCATTCTCTAAAGCATCTGGCACCGGCCACTGTTGGAAGACAGGGTAGTGGGTTAGGTCTGACACAGTTACCATTCTTAGGGAAAAAAAACTTCAAAAACAGACTGCAAGGGGTACTACTGAGCTGGAATTCATATGCAAATTGGAGGAATGGCTCCCACATTTCCCCTTCAGGTCCTCTCCCCTTCTCAGTACTGTTGAAGGTGAGCCACATACACCCTGGTTTAATTAGCACTAGGGTTACACTCCCCTCTCTGTATCCCTGCCTTTCTTTCACTTCAGGCATCTGAGGAAGGGACTTGTATCTCATGAAAGCTTACGCCCTAATGCCCTAATTTTGTTAGTCTTTAAGGTGTCACCAGAGTCCTTGTTGGTTTTGCTGAAACAGATTAACACAGCTACCTCTCTGAAACCTGGACGAGGTCTGGCACAGTATGGCCATTCTTTGGTTCTTGGGGCAGTCATTTTGCTCTGCAGGTCTGGCAGGAGGGGACGAGATAGGCCTGATCTGCAGCGACAAACTATGAGTAGTGAATGGGAGGCAATTATGCAAACTAACAATTTAATTACAGCCAGGAGGATAACAGCTAGTGATTATCCCAGTCTACAGATGTTAATTTGGGTTAATCAGCAACAAGAAACATTCTATTAAGCTTACATTTTGTGCCCACATCCTCAATTATCACTGGAAACAACCAGAATACAATAAATGAGAACATATTAAAAGATGGTCGTCACAAATTATACCAGCAACTGGAATGAAGTAGTTTGTGGTTGACCTCAACACTTGCAGGTAAAAATAAACTTCATGTTGCTTCTCATGTTACTCTGTGCTCCTGAAAGGCCCTAGATTTTGCAATCGCAGCCACTGCATGTGTTGTGATTGTGTTTAGAGGGATATACACAACTCTGGTCCCAGAGCTGAACTCGTGTGAGGCCAGGGACAGATCTTTCTTAGTGGACAATCCATGGGATTTCCATCCTCAGATGCTTCACCAGTGTCTGGCCACTTTTACTGTGCAAGGCAAACTTGGTGGTCTTTAAGCTCATACTGCTCTCGTGCTGCTTTTCGTAGCTCTCTAGCATCTCTCTCGACTGTTGCTTTAACCACATTCTCGTTGCTACTGTAATACAACCAGACTCCAAACAGAGCTTAAATCAGAAACGTGTTGTATTACTTTATTTCCGTAACCATGTGATTTACTTCTTGTATTTGGTCCCTTGGAACAGCCTTACCTGAATTCTGCCTACTAAGCTATCTCCACTTGGCTTACGTCTAACATCTGAGCTACTCTGATAAAAGAAAAGAGCAGGGAAGTCTCTGCCGTTTTACTTCTTTTCCCAGAAATGTACAGTAGGGAAAATGGAGCCTAAACTTAGAGGCTACAGCTACACTGCTGGTTTTGGAATCCCAGCTCTCCAGTGTGATAAAAACAAGTGTTTCTAGCTTCAAACTACCAGGACAGTAGATCATCCCTCTGGCTACGCCTACACTGCCGGTTTTGCCAGCAGTGAGTATGCAAATGAGGCACAGATTCACATATTGCCATGCCTCATTTGCATAATTTATGCAAGGCGTTTTTGCAGGGGAAAAAAGTAGCATGGACGTTTTCTTTTTGTGCAAAAACCCCTTTTCCTGCCAGTTTTTTTGGGGGGATAAGGAACTGGCAGGAAAAGGGGTTTTTGCACAAAAAGAAAACGTCCATGCTACTTTTTTCCCCTGCAAAAACGCCTTGCATAAATTATGCAAATGAGGCATGGCAATATGTGAATCTGTGCCTCATTTGCATACTCACTGCTGGCAAAACCGGCAGTGTAGGCGTAGCCAGAGGGATGATCTACTGTCCTGGTAGTTTGAAGCTAGAAACACTTGTTTTTATCACACTGGAGAGCTGGGATTCCAGAATTTCCTGGGGTAAAGCTTGTTTCTATCCTTGGCCTGTCTTCCTAACATCATGTCACCCTGAATTTACAGAAAATAGCTGAATTTTGGGAACTTTTTTTAATTGAATTTTACATTCACTCCAAGGCTGGTAGTTAGTAATTAAGGCAACGTGGCTTTGCTCACAGACGGAGGTGAAAAATAGTCCCCATAAAAACTTCTTACAAAATCTGAAAACTCATGGCACCCCACTCATGTGTAATGTCGGTGTGACGGCGCGTTGAGGGTCCCCCGTCTCCTGCACCCCCGAAATGGCACGAACAGACTCCACCAGCCAGTAGAATAGAGGAGGGTTATTGCTTCTCCAGGATACAGCACAACACAGATGTAATTTGGTTACAGAGCAGGCCTAGGATGCCTCAGCCCCCCTTGATATGGGGGATACTGGGCCCCTAAATTCCAGCCCCCTTCTCTAGGCTGTCTCCTCCATGATCCCAGACAGAAAACCAAGTAACTCTCTTCCAGCCCTGCCCCCAGCCAGGGGCAGCATCCACCTTCCTTTGTTTCTCTCCCTGGGGGGTAGCTGGTCGGACAGGTTTGGAGCCCCCTTTGCATAATGACTCACCCCCTGCCCTGCTGGGTCCTGCTACAGACAGCAGAGGTTGCCCACAGCCCCAGCAAGTTACCCCCACTACGTCACAGGTCATCCCAATAAAACATTTATATCACCAACACCATCAAGTATTTGCTTTTTATGGCTCTGTGTAAATTGCATCTTCTGCCTTTTAAACAGAGTATGGAAAAGCACTGACATATTCATCTGTACTGGAACTGTGCGGGGTTTTGGCCGACTTTTGTATAATTAATATTATAGCTCCCTTCATCCCAGGAGCTCAAAGTGTTTTACAAAACATTGTCTCACAATATGCCTGCATAGATACACCGGTTCACCCACCGCTCAAACAGCAGCATAAAAGATCCTGATTCTGAGCTTCTTGACCTCTCAGGTCCAAGCAGCACAACGCAACAGTTCAGGACAGGAAGTGAAGTAGGACACAATTGCCTATGAGGAAGTGCAGGGAGAGCTTAGGGAAGCCAAATGTTGTTACCTGAGTAGGAATGTGGCAAATACTCCAGTTGACACTCTTATTCTTTCTTAAGTTTTAAATGGTGTTAAGTGTCCAGCAGCTGGTTTTGTCTCTTCCCACAGGTCAGCCCTCAGATAGGTCCATGACTCAGACTTCTAGGTGTTAAGGTATCACACGTTAGTGATAGCAAATGCTGTACCAGCATCACAGTCTGGAGCTGCTGGCCAGTGATGCCTGTTGAGTCTCCTGTTTCTAATTTTTTGTACAGCACCCAGAATGCCAAATGGGTGTTTAAGATATAAATGATGAATCGGTGCGCGCACCAGGTGGTCCATAATCATCGCTTAGAGGACTGCCAGTGCTCCTGAAAGGAATGCAAACTGCTGTCTGTGACTGTTGCCAACTGTAAAAGGGGCAGGAACCTGCATTTTCTGCCACAGTGCCCAGAAATAGATTCCTTTCCGGAGTCACTGGCTCCCAGCTGGAGGCGAGTGAGAAAACTCAAGAACAAAGCGACTAATACATCCCTTCTTTATGCCACAGGTTGCCAGGTCTCAAGGGAAGGGCATTTTTCTGTTCCGAAAACTCAAGGATGTCATTGACTGGAGGAAGGTGAGACATGTACTTTCTCTTCTCACACCACCAGAGGTTTTTTGGGAAGGTCCACTAGAGCAGAGGTCACCAAAGTGGGGGTGCAGTACTCTAAGGAGGTGTGGAGGACCATCCAGGGGGGCATGGCAGGGCCCAGCCAGCCCTTACGGGGGTGGGGAGGGAGTACAACCAGTCTCTTCCTGCCCCCAGCTCTGCTTCACTCCAGCCCCTAACCATATTTCCCACCTCTCCCCCCCCCCCCCCCACTGCAGCTCAGTTCCTGGCCCAGGGCTGAAACTGGGGGCAAGAAGACCCAGAGTGGAGCTGCACCTGTTCACTGATGTGGGTGCCAGCCACCACTGCAGCCCAGCTGTGGCTCCACTCCTGCCCCCACCCCAGACCCACCTCCAGCTGTGGCCTCAGCCTTGGGCCCTTTACCCCTGTTCACAGACCTCTCCCCCCACCCCAGCCATGGTACTACTCCCAGCCCAAGCTCAAGGGAAGTGGGGGGCATGGACAGGGAGAAGGGGGCACAACCCTCAAAAGTTTGGGGGCCACTGACCTAGAGCTTTGGTCTTCCAACTGTATCGTCAAGCTTTTGGTAGTCACTGGTCCCATCTATAGCTGTTTATGTAACACTTATCACCAGACCCCAGGATTACAGCAGATTTCCTTACTGTCCAATAAACCAAAAGGTGGGATGTTTTGTCATTAATCTAAAATCTAAAACTGAGTCCGACTGACTGGAGACTCATGCGAGTGCTCGTGATTTGATTTTCTCCTTATCCAGTCTGGTCCATGGAGAAGAAATAACTTTTTATTTTGCAGGATGGGATCCGTACAGATGATCAGAGAGATGAAACTCAAGTAGAGAATTATGTAGCTCAGTGCTATATTGAAAACCCATATTTAATAGGAGGTAAGGCGCTAGTTTCAGTCTGTATCCTCCTGACATTTGGAGGGAAACACTCCACCTCTGATGTTCCTGTCACACAGGGTGGGAGTCCTAGATAGCTCTTTCTGGTGAAGGTTAAGACTTTCTCTCGTTAGTTCGTGCCTGAAATTAGCTGGATTTAAATGTGAATCTTAGAATGCTGCTCATAGTCAGCGCTGCTGATGCGGTAGGTTAGTGGTCGTACCCAAAAAGACTTTGAGAATACAGAGGTGATCAGATGAACAAAAATGAGATCTAAGACAAGCCACAGATATTAAAAGATATTGTCATATAATAGCAGGTTCCTCTCTAAGAGCTTGGTCTTCCTACAGCCAGGTACCAAAATTACTAAATGGGTTTTAGCGCAGATCTTTCGTTATTTTGATGCAAGTCTGTGTTTGGCCACTTATTTTAGATCAAGAGCATCCTAGGGTATGTTTACACTGCCACCCTAGTTCGAACTAGGGTGGCTAATGTAGGCAATCGAAGTTGCACACGAAGCCCGGGATTTAAATATCCCGGGCTTCGTTTGCAACTTCGATTGCCTACATTAGCCACCCTAGTTCGAACTAGGGTGGCTAATGTAGGCAATCGAAGTTGCACACGAAGCCCGGGATTTAAATATCCCGGGCTTCGTTTGCAACTTCGATTGCCTACATTAGCCACCCTAGTTCGAACTAGGGTGGCTAATGTAGGCAATCGAAGTTGCACACGAAGCCCGGGATTTAAATATCCCGGGCTTCGTTTGCAACTTCGATTGCCTACATTAGCCACCCTAGTTCGAACTAGGGTGGCAGTGTAGACATACCCCCGGTGGTTTAAAGTGTCAGCAGGACACTCTTAATCTGAAATTCACGTCCACACACAGATTGGCACCAAACAACAAAAGGTGTGATTTAAGTCCTATCTCGTTATTTTGATGCACAGCTCTAACTTAGGTATTTTTAACAGTTGGTATGCAGAGCACTAACTTTGCTATGTTACGTTACTGAGTATTTCTCTTTGATTCACAGGTCGAAAGTTTGACTTGAGAGTTTATGTTCTAGTGATGTCTGTAAGTGCCAACATCCGTTGTATTTTTAGTAGTGACTGGGTTGGATTTTCTTGCTATTCACCGTCAGTTTCTCTCTCCCTTTTCTCTCAGTACATTCCCCTGAAGGCCTGGCTATACCGGGATGGCTTTGCTCGCTTTTCCAACACACGCTTCACGCTGAGTAGCATAGATGATCATTGTATCCTGCCTGTCCTTGTGTGTTACAGGGCAGCTGCAAAGGAATGGAATGTATCATTTTAGTATTTCGGGGGAAGGAGATGGAGGGGGAAAGAAGGGATCTAGAAGAACAAGAACCCTTATCTCTTGACTCCTGGATACTTACAGAATTCTCACCCTCTGCTCTAGTTTCTCACTGGCTGTTCTGCTGTTGCCTTGTTTTGCTCGCATCATCTGTCATTGGAATTCTGATATCAGTGAATCTCCAGAAACATCAGCCAGCTAGGACCAAACCTGAGTGATCAGTCCAGGTGCACTTATTGCTGCCTGCTTTTTTCATGGATTCTTGGTGTTTAAAGCCAGAAGAGTCATCTAGTCTGGCCTCCCACCGTCCATTAAGTTTCAGCCAGTTACCTCAGCCCAATAACTTGTGTTTAACAAAAACATAATTTGAATATGGCTACAGTTAAGCATATTCTTTGAGAGGCGCATCCGGTCTTGACACCGGGAGAGAGAATCCACCACTTTCCTTACTCAAATATTTAGCAACCCGCTTATTCTTGTTCAGTCTGATTAAAAGGGGGGTTGTTTTACTGAGGCAGAGCAGGTCTCCATGCCAGGCTCTTGGGCACCAGTGCTCTGCACAAAGGTTAGGCTGTATTCCCAGAAGAAGAGCCAATGAGGGCTAATACTTGCTATGGGATTTGCTACTAGTTTCTCCAGATTTCTATTTTTCGCTGTATTTATTTTCCCTGAATTTTTCACCAAGATGTCTCCCTGCAGTGTGGGTATAAGCACCCCCATTACGGAAGGGAGGAGAGATTCATTGGCAAAAGGGGCAGAGGAGGTTGGTTTGGGACCCAAATTGAATTTCTGTTGGTTTAAATGTCATTTTTTGTCTCCATGATCCTTAACTCCTCCTCCTGTCAGATGTGCATCTCACCAATGTAGCAGTGCAGAAGACTGCACCTGACTACGATCCAGAGAAGGTAAGTGAAAACTTCCTGACTACTGCAGTTGGCCCAGCCTGAGTCCAAGAGCACATACTATGCTGGGTAGTTCAGGGAATGCAGGCACGTACCTGCTCTGGCCTCATCGTTCCAGCGTCTGTCCAGTGTACATGGCAGCTTGGGAGTCTTTGAGGATGTACTCTATGGATGCTCTGCTTAGCTGTCCTCGGCTAGCCCATGAATCTGTGCATTGATGGCTGAGTCAGGAGATCCAGTGAGCCAGAGCTCTGCTCTCATTGTTCCATTACAACTGTGCTCTACTTAGTGGCATTGACTGTTCTGACTCCAAAGCAATTCATTCTGGGGTAATGCTTCTCAGAGACTCAGCCTAGTGGTCCCGAGCATTCACTGCTATACCCACAGCTGTAAAATGAGCTTAGCATCTTCAGAGGTCATCTCAGATTGCTACCCTCCCCCCTTTTCTGGGGGGCCTGCAGTTGGAACAAAGAGAAAAGCTTAAACAAAGGAGATCAGCATTAGACAGTCTTTGTGAATCTGAGAGTTTAAAAGTTCATAGAAACAAAGGTTTGCATTGAACTTTCCATTTTATATGTTTTTCATCCTCTAAATCTCTAGTCCTGTGGTGTCCAACACGCTAGCCACATGTGGCTGTTTGGCCACTTGAGTGTGGCTAGTTCGCTATAGCAGTAACTACCCTATCATGGCTACTGCTTCAGAACTGGTAGGAAACCATGGCTCTAGCCTAATATTTCAAGGTCCCTTGGAAAGGGAAATCTTAGATGTGCATCTTGAGAAATTCTGATGGAAAGAGAAAGTGGGATGGTGATCACTGTTAGAATCTCACTCCTGGTCTTGGGGGAAAGTTTTGGTTTTACTCCACTTTCCAAGCAGAGACTGCAGTTTCTCTCTAGACTATGGTTCAATTATTCCTTTCCAAGATGCACCAAGAGGAGTAATATCTGATTCTGGGTGTTTGACTTCTTATGCAGAATTATCTCTTGACTGCAGAGAACACTGAATGATTGTTTCATGTAGGGGTGGTCACCTACGTAGGAAGAGCTTGTCACAGTTATCTTTGTACGCATTAGGGCTGCAAGTGGACGCTTCAGCGGTTCCGACAGTACCTGACTGCCAAGCACGGGGCAGAAGGGGTGGAGATTCTCTTTGCAGAGATGGACAACATTTTCATCAAGAGCCTACAGAGTGTTCAGAAAGTGATCATCAGCGACAAACACTGTTTTGAACTGTATGGATACGACATCCTCATAGACCAGGATCTGAAGCCGTAAGGATGTTAGTGCGCAGACAGGTGGCATGCAGTGCATGGAAGGCTGCTGAAACAGCTGAGCAATGGCCAAGGAAGGGAGGCTCATGGGAAACCCCTGCCAACTCCAATAACACGTAGTATAGTAACACTCCCAGGAACATTGAGATTCAGCCAAGTGCCACTATTGAACTGATAGGACTAGACATTAAGTACACTTGCCATAACCTCAAAAGTAATCGTGTGAAGTGTTGGTGAATAGGCAGCCCTTGTTACAGAGTTTTAGACCTCAGGGGGGTATTTCTGTTAAAGACTATGGGAGGAAACAGACTCCCCAGAAATCTTAGAGATTGTAACAAATCAAATTTGGTTCAACTTTGATTTTTATAAAAACCAACTTTCACAGTGGTCTTACTAGAAACAATTCAATTGTTTTTTAAATATGCATCAATTAAAATGCGCTTTTAAATATATAAGCTGCCTTCTGCAATGTTTGCAACCCAAATATTTCAGTACTGCAAACCTGAAATTAGAGCACACTTTCTCTGCAAAAGTAAGCAAAGAGCAGCAAAGGCAACAAGATTAGATTTGTACGGTTTTTGGTTTTAATTACAAATTAATTAAAACTGCTCTTTGTAACACTGATAAGGAAATGTGTATAACACATGGTTCAAACTGACAGTGCCCCTCTGAGCATCCTTATGTTTCTTCTTCCTCCCTCTAATGACGTGTGGGTAGCCAGTGTTCCAGTTACAACCCTCTATGGCTTGTCAGCATCAGTCTGATGCCTGTGCAGTGCCACTGGGGACAGCTTCATTTCAAGTGAGCTAATAAACGCTGCTCAGCTGTGGTCTTGGGTAACCCAATTTTGTACAGGCTAGTGTGCTGCAGTCATGGCTTCAAACCAAGCTACTGCTTCCGTAGTGACACTCTGCTCCGAAAGAGCTTGTGTAACTTCCAGTGCTCAAGAAGCAAGTCAAGGTGAGGTGAACTGGAAGGAATCACTGATGTAACTATAATACCAGGGTTTGCTGCTGTCAACTGAGCAACTTAGTGGGAACTTCCAGAGCCACATAATCAGACTGCCTTTTTTTTTTTTTTTTTTTAAGGAAACTACTTCCAAAATCCCTCCACATTTCCACACTGCGGAAAGGGTTAAAATTAACCTGATTGAAGAGGATGGCAGGGGAGAGTGTTTCATCTAGCCTGTAGTTTTATTGGTATACTTTTTAGATGCTGGAGGGGCTCTCTCTTTATTACAGTCGAGCTGAATGATGTTTGCGATTAGATTGCCTATCACTTCACGCCCTCTCTCCAGCAGTGCAATGAGGTTTCTATAGATAGGCATTTCTGTTAGGTGGACTGATGATTTAGCTGTCCGCTTCCCTTTAATTCACTGTTCTTCTCTCTCCAGCTGGCTTCTTGAGGTTAATGCTTCCCCCTCCCTCACGGCCAGCAGTCAGGAGGACTATGAGCTCAAGTGTCGCCTGCTCAAGGACACCTTGCATATTGTGGACATGGAGGGCAGGTGGGTGAGGCAAACAAGTTTACTGCTCCCCATGTCTCTCACCAAAGTGTGTGAGATGTGTCCCAGCAAGTCCTTTGGCTTCTGTGGGCGAAAAGATCGTTGTCGGGGCTGTAGGTTTGACATGGTGGCATTTGCCTCCACCACCACTTGGTGCCTGTCACTGCCCTGCGATCCATTGGTGAGTCAGGATCCACTGCTTGGAAAACAGGTTCACACACATTTGTTTTACACGTCAGGAAATTGAGCCACCAAGAGCGCTCTCCCAGCGGCCCTTCCTCAGGGCCACAGAGGAAGGTGATGTCAAAGCTGGGTCTTGAACTGGAATTTCTGGTTCCCAGTCTGTTGCTCTGACCTCACTTCTCACCTCTCGCACCTTACGTATCCAGTCTCCTGTCCCAGGAAGCTTACACCTTGCATCACTTTATGATGGACTGTACAGTGTGGCTAACCCAAGATGTTCATAGTAAATATCAGCCCATTGCAGCTCTCATTTGGTTTTCTTCCTGATGATCTGCACCGATTTCCAGGCAGTGTGCAAACAGTGAATCTGAGAGCCGTTACTCCTGCACATTAACCCCTTGCATGTGATCTTGCAGGCTGACCGGGAAGGAAAAGCGTGTTGGGGGCTTTGACCTGATGTGGAACGACGGCCCTGTCAGTAGAGCAGATGGGAATGTGGATACACCAGTCAATGGAAGCTTCGTGGCAAACACACATTTAGGTACCTCACTCCTACGCAGCTGGCAGGCACCCCGCTCGAGGTCCTTCACGGTTTGGACATCACCAAAAGTGCAAAACATTCTTTTCCCGCAAGAGTAAAGGGACTGGGGGTGAATTATCACACAGGTTAGTGCTAGCTGGGCGTAGTAACCATGTGAGGTTCCGTGGGAAGGTGTGAACATTTCTCCATTGGGGGCGTAAGTGATCAAAGTTAGCACTCCTATAAAGCTGATGTGGGGGCAGCAGTTAAGATTTTTGGAATTCCTTACCTCCTGAGCACCCACAAGTATTCTTCACCTGCCAGTTCCTTTAAAAACTATTCCTAAAGGTCCATACCACAATCGTGACAGCTGTTTATTGTGCACATTTCTACGGTGGGTTGCATGTTTGTTTGGTAGCAAATCATGAGACTCTTAACCTCCCCAGTTCAGTCTGGCAGAAAGTGGCTAGTGCAGGGTTTCACATGGCATACATTGCTCCCATTTTTTTCTCTGGCTGCAGCTTCATGCTGATTGGAGCGCAGCTTTGTCTGAAGGTAGGCGGTTATCTCTGCTCTTCACCCTTTGGAGGGACTAAGTCATCCGTCCCTCCGTTGATGCTTTCGTTTCAGGCTACAACAATGACAGGAAAAAACAGCTGAAGCAGCTCTTCAAACCTCTCCCTACGCAGCAGAAAGTTTAATGCTGATCCAGAGCACCAGGCAAGAGAAGTTGCAGAGGATCGAGCTCTTTCACTCCCTCTTCCTCATATTGTACAGCAGCAGTTCTCATTTGTCTTGGACAGTTTTGCTACCTCAGCATAGGATGACCGGCTATTTCTTGGCTCTTGTGTGGGAATCTTAAACAACAAGTGAACTCTGTTCTGAAGCCAGAGCAACACTAGGAGCGGGTTGGCTTTTAACTCTGACGTGATGCAGGCAGGTGTTTTGATTGTGTCCCGGTGTGGTTGACCAGTTCTTCAGTAAAGAATGAATTTGTTTTGTTCCACTGTGCAGGCTGTAGCAAGGCTGTCAGCGGGGGGGTCCTAGCATGAAGGGAACATTATCTTGTGTCTACTGCATATGGCTCTAGATCAGCTGTACACACCATGTTGCAGCCAAAAAGCACTCCTAGCCATCACTTCGCCTCTGCATGCTGAATAAAATAGATAATGCCTTTGTGCTGTAAGAAATCCAGACGTGCAGCTTCACTGGTCCTCCATTTGAGGTTATTGACATGACTAGATTTCCTTTAAAGTGTAAACTATAACAGAGGCTATACAGACTGCTCAGTAAAATGGAAGCTTTTAAGAGAGGTGGGCATTTGAGCCTCCTGCTGCTATGATTACAGAAACCTGTCAGATCATAAAACCTGTTGCCATGATACTGTAGCAGTAACCATACCGTTATGTTTTATGAAGGCACTGAGAGTGGCTCCACTCTTCTGGTTGTGTTAAAAGGGCTCTTGTAACGAAGAGATTTAGTACCTCTGAGATAAGGAAAGTCCCTTGGCTGCCTTTGCTACAGCAGAGATGTCATTTTCTGGAAAGCTACAGGAGGGGCTATTCACTAATGGGAATTATTTTTAACTTCTGCAGCTGGAATGTAAGCTTACAGTGCACAGCTTTGCTTTCGGCCTTTGGAAGCTTAGGTGGACGTCACTCTGAACAATCTTCGACATTAGCTAGCTAAATACAGCCCCCTTCAAAACCAAAGCAGTCAAGCAAAGCTGATAGATTTATCAAACCAGCCCTGGCTTTAAGGAGAGTGGAACAGGCCTATTCTGGTGCAAACCCACTCCTCCTGAGCTCCACTTATATGTGCAAAACTGAACAAGGCAGTGGATGGTGGGGTGGAAGACCGGCTCAGGAGCAAATCATTACAGTTGTTCTGTTTAAACACCTGGTGCTCACCAGCTGTTCATCCAATCCAGCAAGAGGGGGAGTGCTAGACAAAGATAAAGGGTCAGCTACAGTTCTCTGCTGTGTCTACAGCATTTATCAAAGCAGATGCAGTTCTTTCATTGGCTTGCTAGCTATTCCTACTGCACTAAAATTCCCCACCCACAATCAATTTCCTGCAGTGCAAACACTTAAAATGAAAAAGAATGAAAATGATTCTGCTAGGCCCCTTATTCTCTTTGCTGTTTTCCGAGGAGCTCAACCTTGAGTTTGTCAAAATTAAATAGTAATAAGATATAATGCACCTATTACTGCACTATCCTCTATTGAAGCGATGAAATATGAAGGAGAGCTGCTCATGGTGGACTTGCCTTAACTCTTTTCCTGTGGTTTTTGCATTAACAATTAACTATACTTTATCTAGAAACCTTCACGTCTAGAGGGAGAACAGCAGGTTTTTCTTGCCACTGTATGTTCCTCTTCCCCAAGCCTGTGCACAACCGTAAGCAGTCACATTTGCCGTTTCATTAGAGGAGCTAGGAACAGAGGAATGAGCAGACATGGGATTTAGCTAGTCACTATACTGTTGCCAGCAGAGGCTGCTTCCAACAGCTTCTCAGAAAGGTTCAAGAAAACCTCCTTTAGGTAGTTATTGAATAATCTACCCCCCCAAGCAGTTTCCTCTGAATTCCCCAGCATGCCCACACTCCTCTTTCTCCACTCCAAATCGTTAACGTTTGTCTGAAACCCTGAAGCCTCAGGGTGTATTTTAAAAACACTATTATAGCTCTGCCAAGTCTTATTTGCCAGTGTGCAATCCTGTTTTGAATCTTGCTGTTAGCCTCCCTGTAGCTAACTGTGTAAAGAAAGTATTTCCTCCATTTTATCAGTTCTGAATTAATCACCTAGCAATTGCTTGTTCTTGAGGCAGGATGAGACACCTCATCTCTCTTCTCTAAAAGATTCGCTGGTTTGCATACTCGTGTCCTTTCCCTAATGTAAACCATCCCACTTCTTCCAGATCTTCTTTCAAGTTTAATCACAAGATCCTAGCTCATAGGCATGCCCCTTCAGATTAACAGGCACTCTTGTATCTCTTGAACATGTATGAAAATTCCTGAATTTTTTTAAGTGCACAGTTTAATTCACAAGCAAGCTTTACAACGCAAAGTGTCTATTTATTCTTTGAAGATGCTGTGGATTCTTTCCCCTTTCCTGCCAAAAGAACACACTAGCTGGGAGATAAATTACAGGGGCTCATATATATATATATATATAAAAGAAGATGCAGTTAAGAATGCCCTGTTCTTCTGATTCTAATAATCCCAATGCCACCCCAGTGATGGCAGGCAGTCAAATAATGAAAAGGGATGGTGTTCTAACACTTGTCTCTGCAGCGTCCAATCCACAACTAACACTGAACCCTGATGACTGAGTGACAGTCGGAAGTAAAGCTGAAGTCCCCAGGATGAAGGTCTAATTTCGTCCTTCCAGTATCTGGTGGATTGCTTTCATTTCCTCGGGGGTCATGGGGTTCAAGTTAAACCCCCTCAGCTCAGGCTTACCTGAGGAAAACAAGCAGAAAACACAGATATGGTTAAAAAGCATGCGTACACTGGTCCCTGCTGAAAGAGTTTAAACTGCCAGTAGAAGTAGTCTGGAAAAACACTGCTGTATCAGCCTGTCTCCATGGCCATCACTGACTCAACTGCTGTCTATTGGAAACAACTGATAACGTGGTAGTGCTGGGCCGAGGGGTCTGCGACAGGACTCATGCCCAGGAAACTGGGCAAACATGGGGCTTTTGCTGTCAACAGAAGAGAGAGGGTTGTTAAAAAGCAGGTAATTGGATAACTGTACTGGCTCCCGCCCTGCTCCCAGGGAACTAGGTGCCGCCTCATGCTGCAGGCTCTGATATACAGCCAGCAGTGCGGGGTGACAGCTGGCTCCCTGAAAGTGGGCCCAGAGTCTGTGTGTCACCGTTCACACTAACCAATAAGCCCAGACTTATTTGGTAACCGTGTAAACGCTTAACCTGTTACATCCCTAGAAGAGAGGAGAGTTATTCTCGGACTCTGTTTCAAGGATTTTTTAATATCTTCCCTCCACCCCTCCTCTGATTTGTGCCTCCCACCAAATGTTCCCTGAACCTTTCACAAATACCTTGAGCTTCATAGAGACGGTTGACTTTTACTCTCAGCTCTTTCCGAAGTTGGTTTATTTCCTCATCCAACTGCTCCTGATCTGAGAAGACAGGGATGATGGTGATAATGAAGCATCCAGGAGTACAGTGAGTTAAGGAAACACAAACAGCAAGCTCTCGACTGCTCCTTATGTTGTATTCAGATTTTAACCACAAGTGCAGGGGAACTCTTCCCTACTGCCTATTCTTCAGATTCTCGTGCTCGTTGAAGTGGCTGCGTTTTTTTGGTCATATAGAAATACAGCAATGTTCCCTCTAATGTTTTCCATCAATGGATGGAATAAGTTTTATGTGCACCAAGGCATGTGTGGATGTGCACCACAAGTAGAAACATGCTGCAGGCCGTGGGCTCTCTGCTAATCAACTAGGTGGCATTTTAATGTCTCCTGGGTGGCTGCCCAAGCGCTCAGTTTATAGGAAACACTGGGAACTTATACAGTTCTCTTTCCATAGCCTATGTTCCTGCCAGATAGTCCCGTCCAGCTGAGTACAATGAACTGAATGGTAAAAGGTACAAAGTTTGTGGAGCCCATGCAACCTATCAGAAAAGATATGCCACGTCAGTGCTTCTAGCCAAATAGGCAGTTTTTAAAATGGAACCATAAGCTGTCTGGAGCAAGCACTGTCTTTTATTGGGGGGAGAGGGATGTAAGTAACTAACCATCAGGGCCTGTGGGCACTACCACAATACAGGTAACACTTGTAAACCTGCCCACTTTCACAGATTTTAAGGACGGAAGGGCTGACCTGCATAGCACCAGCCAGAAAATGTCACCCGCTTACCCTTGTATTGAGTGCAGCTTTAAAATGTGCCTCCTTTCAATTTCATTGAATGTCCTTTGCCCTTTGCATTAGAGGCAAGTTGAATACACCTTCCCCACCTACCTTCGCCTGCCCCCCCCTTTTGTTTAATACCTTTATCACATCCCCTAATAGCAGAGATTTTTTTGTCACTCATCTCCAAAGCCCCTCGAATTCTGTTGTGCCTCCTTTGATATGGGGGCCCAATGCTGCATATAGTATTAAAAAGACAGTGCCCTATTGATTTATAGACTGGTACAGCCGGTCCCTGAGTTACGACCGTTCGCATTTACGACCAAAGCTCCCATGGAGCGGTCGTAAAGGCGGTCCCCGAGTTACGAACAGCGCAGTCACTATGTAACTCAATGGGGTCCGAGTTGCGAACAGATCGAGTTACGGCCAAGTGTTTGGTCCGTAACTTGTTCGTAACTCGGGGAGAGGCTGTATTCAGATATTTTCCATAGCATTCCCCAGCCTATTGTACCCTAACACAGTTTGCTTTAATGCACATCTCAGTGAAATGTATGAGGGGTTCAAATTATTCCCTCTAATATCTATTTGTCCCCACTGAATTCCATCTGCCACTTTGTTGTTCATTTACCTACCTTGCCTGGGCCCCTCCGAAATTCCTCCTCAGCTCTGCTCCCTTAATTCTTTGACCTAATTTGTCCCTGTACAGTTTATACTTAAGTGTTAAAATATGCACATAGTGTAGCTTTATGCATTTAGTCTCTG